TTTGACCGTTTGGGAGATCCCAAGTCGAAGAAACCTCGGACCTCTGCGTTCGAAAGGTTGCAGGACACTCGGTCGGCCCGAAAAGGCGACTTGAGAGACACGCTCAAGGAGAAGAGAGGGGAGTCCACAGCGACCTCCAAGGTCGGTTCTGAGGAGCGACGGACGACAGTCGGGGATAAAGGTGCAGCCGAGCTGTGGAAAATGTACGAACAACTGGAGAAGCGGCTGGATGCCCAGAACCCCTATCGCCAGGCGGTCTTCAGTGAGGTAACGCCCTTCTCCAGGAGGATAATGTCCTGCCCTCTCCCAGATAATTTCAAGACTCCCCAGATCAAGGCATACAATGGGACGACCGATCCCCAAGACCACCTCGCTCGTTTCGGGGCCAACGTAGTCATGTACGCGTATCCAGAAGAAATCAAGTGTCGGTGCTTCCTGGCGACACTGGAAGGGCAGGCTTGTGAGTGGTTTCACAAGTTACCCAAGGGGTCGATAGATAAGTGGGGCGACCTGGCCCACAAGTTCTTGGAGCACTTCGCGTCCAGCCAGAGACAAAAGCTCCCCTTCTCGCATTTGCTCAATGTGAAGATCCGGAAGGGGGAACAGCTCCGGGAGTTCATTAATAGGTGGGAGAAGGAGGCTAGGGATGTCCAAGGGGCGGACGACCAAGCCCTGATCGCCATGCTCCAAGCTGCACTCCCCCAAGGGGATGTGCGTAAGGAGCTGCGACGGAATCCTCTTTCGACCTATCAAGAGATGTTGGCCAGGGCGAAGTACCTGGCGCTAGAAGAGGAAGATGATGAGCCACCAGTCCGGAAGGAGAAGAAAAGCGGGCCACCAGTGGCAGAAGGAAAGAAGAGGAAGGAATATGGTAAGGGGCCGAACCCCACCGGGTATCATGCGAACAGGCATCCCGTTCACGCGGTACAGTCGTTGCCGGCCCCTCCTCATGGTCGGGAAAGCTATGGTGTGCAAGATGCACCCAAATACTGTGAGTACCACCGTAACAGCACCCATAACACGTCGGAGTGCGTTACGCTGAAGAAGGAGATGGATCAGCTGATCGCTAGAGGGCCACCTCCTCGGTCAGAGCGACCGTCCACAAGTAACCGGACCTGGAGGAGGCTGCCAGCCCCCACGGCAGCGATCACAGCAGGAGAGGGGCAAGAAGATGGACGGCGACACCTAGGGCGAGATTGTGATGACCTAGATGAGGAGGAGAGGCAAGGTCGCCGACACCTGGGGTGTCGGTTCATCATGGGAGGAAACACTGGAGGAGATTCGGTATCCTCCCGGAAGAAGTGGAAGAACATGGTGTACCTTGCCGAGGTACAAAGGCCACCGTTGCCTAAGCGAAAGAAGAAGGAGCCTCTGATCTTTACAGACGAGGATTATCCCCCAGTCCTCAGTCCTCACAGGGACGCTCTGGTGGTAAGAGTGGAGATCAATAATGTGGTTGTTCACCGAACCTTGGTCGATACGGGCAGCTCGGTTAATGTACATCAACACCTTTAAGGAGTTGGGATTGTCCCGAAGCGACCTGAAGCCAATCCATACGCCGCTGTCAGGATTTACAGGGGATAATATCAAAGCAGAAGGAACTATCACGGTAAAGGCCGGGGTAGGAGATGGCACCCACTGACTCTGGGTCGACATGGAATTTATGGTAGTACAGCTCGACTGTGCACACCATCTGATTCTGGGACGACCAGGGTTGGAGGACCTGGAGTGCGTAATCTCCCCCGTCCACTTATGCCTAAAGTTCAACACTCCCACAGGGGTGGGAGTAGCAAAGGGGAACCAGAGCCTGTCACGGTCGTGCTATGTCAGGGCGACCAAAAGCCAAGCCCGAGTCGACGAGAATGTGAGCACGATCTGTGCGGCGATCCAGAAGGAGGAGGGGCGACCCCGAGCTGAGCCGGCGGAAGAGGTCGAGGAA